CAAAAAGAATCTGTTGCATTGGGTTCCGACGCCCCCCCGACGTGGGATCCGAATGCTTTTACACCACCATCATCCGTCGCTTCCACGCCGCCCGGAGCCCGGCGCGGAGGTCAGGGCCCCAGCACAACAATGCCCACTGGAGCCAGCCCATGCAGGAATCTGGGGGCCCTGAGACCCCCCGCCCTGCAAAAACGCGGACGAAGAGGCAGCACTTTGCTTACCTGGCTCATACCAGGCACTCCTCATAGCATTGCGCATAGCACGCACAAGGGGGGGGGGGGGGGGGGCGCACCGCGCGCAACGACGCCGCATGCGAGCGCCGACGGGATCGCCTGCTTATCAAAACGCCCGAGAAGAGGCCCAGCACGACAAAGCTACCGAAAACGCTCTTTACGAAAGGCCATATTCGATTCTAAATACATCCTTGGCTGTGACGGCGCAAGATCTTAGTCGACTGACTCGACGACCTGCCTTCTCGGCGCAGACCAAAATTGAAGACGTCACTGTCATTTTGCGCCAAACAGGCTGCAGATCGATATTGCGAAGCATGCCGGTGACATCCTGCAGGACAAACCTAGCTTGCTCATCGGCATGCTTGACAGTCGAGGCGTCCTGAATCGTCATATCGTCGGCGCAGGCATATACAGATACCTGCGCGCCAGTCGTCGCGACAAGCAATTCGTCTGCACGAGATTGCACAATGAGCTGCAGGATGAACATCGCAAAGCTGCATCCTGGTAGAACCACACGCGGGGCCCAGGCAGAAGTCGCAAACACCACGCCCCAAGCCAGACGCCGACAGGCGAGGCGCATCTCCAGCGCCAAACTCAAAAGCTGGCCTGAGAAAGCACGCGTCTCAAGCCAGCCCAAAAAATCAACTTCCAGACGGCCCGACCAAATCATTCCTGTGTGCCCAGCACATAACGCACGGCTACCTGATGGCCCGCTCGCCGAGGCACACGCCCCTGCACCTCGCCCTGCAGAAGCGCTCCAGCAGCAGCGTCGGTCGAACACTTGCCTGCGCCCGGCGCAAGAGGAGACCCGCCCGACTGAAACGCGCAGGGGCGCGCGTGCATGAGACGAGCTTTGGTAGGGGGCCACACGCGAACCCTACCCCTACCCCCCACGATTTCTGAGGGGGAGGGCGGGGTTCTCCTCGTTCGGGAGCTCCCGAGCGAAGTGAACCCCACCCTCCCCCTCAGAAATCGCGGGGGATAGGGGCAGGGTTCGCGCGTGGCCCCCTATTTGGAGCATAACCTAGACAGCACACCCAACAGGGCCATGGGCCTGCATCCCACAGTAGGTATTCCTGGCAAGACCACATGCACATACATCATGACGGACAGCCATGTAGACCACTGCTCACAAGCAAGACATAGATCCCAAGACAGACAGCGCAGCGTGCAGCGTTACCAGCAAGAGACCAACGACGAGGCCGAAATCGATCAGCACCTACGAGGGCCCTGGCCAAGAAACCCTTAGAGGCATGCCACAGAACCGGAATACGCACTCATTGGAGGCAATCGCGGCCCAGAGCGCCGCCGGCTGACGAGTTCTTCCCGAAAGCCATCAAGCGACGATGCTGGCTCGGCGGGGCCGTCCCAGATATCGGACCAATCGCCCCTTTGCGCCGCCGTCACGTCTGACGCATGACTCGGGGGTCCCACGAAGGCGCGAACCTGGGAAAGCGCCCGACCCTTGGGTCTGGGCCAGAGGCGAACGGGCATGGAACGACTCCCCAGGGAACCCCTCAATACAAAACCCTGACCTCTGCATTCGCCGAGCTCACCTCTTGTCAAGCCTTCCAGGCGAATCCAACAGCCAGACCCCGCTGGCGCAGAGCGTGAAAATAACCCAGCAGCGGAAGACGCGCACGATGACCCCCGAGAAAATAATCCGGGCGGGAGACAGCCAGCAAGTCTGAAGATACGCCCTTGGCCTGCAACCACTTCTCGCATCGGGCTGCTGCGGCACACAACCCCGCATCTACATGATGCGGGCCAGGCCCTCGACTCGAAACAGAGGCAGCCGCAGCGCCCTGGCAGTGGCAGACCCAATAGGCTCCTGGAAGCCAACGCCCCACCCGCCGTGGAGTGGCGGCCCTGGACTTCCGCGCCAATGCCCACGCGGGCGTCCAACTTGTCGACTCCGAAGAGCGGCGCCAGCTCGCGCCCCACACCCAGATAGATCTTCACCCACAGGCGGCCCATGCGCGATCGACGCGGAGACGCAGGGGCATGGCCCAGCTGGGCGTCGGACTCCAAAGGCTCAACCCAGGATAAACCAGGATCGCCACGATTCAGAAGGGCATCGTCTTCCTCATCCGAGCTAGTATGATTCCCAAGCCGAGGTAGATGCTGGGGCTTGGCGGGGAAAGCATCAGGCCCGCGGACCTCCTGCACTGTCTGCACCCAAGACCGAGCACCGACTACGACAGCCACTGGATCGCGCAGCAGAGGAAGGCAATCATGCACGCGCCGTGGAATCGCCATGACGCTCAACGAAGCGTCTCTGCCTAGCCAAAAGTCAGTGAAGGTGCCGTTGCCTGTCTTTGCTACTCTGTGCGACCCTTCGTGGCCGACAACCAAAATGCCATGAACTTTGCCAACGCAGTCCGAATGGCAGGAAACTGCAGGGAGCACATTCCAATCACGGCCAATGACGCATGGCGAACAATGTTGTCGCGAGCAAAATCTATATTCCTTCTTCGAGACAACGAAAGCCGCCATGGTTCCCCCTCGGGGCCATGCGCAAATCAGGACCGCCACGCACCGCACCTCAACGGGAACACGATCACGCTCGCGAGGGCGCTGTCCAGAAAAATTGTGCCTATGTAACTGCGAACGACGAGTTCCGCCCCAGAAATCATGACGTCAAGGAGGCCAGCCTGGCAATTCGCGGAAGTCCTCCAACAGGTTTGGAAACACCACTCCTTCGCGCGCCTACAATCATCATGGCGGAGACGAATCTCTGGCGAGGCATCGACATGTGCACCTGCAGCGCCTTCCACCAGGAAGGTATGCAGCCTCCCACGCCCCCTTGGCGATGCAGGTGGCACAACGAGAAGACGTGCGCTGGCCTCTCCGTGGCGCTCGCCTCGCAGAAGCCGAAGAGAAGGAGCAGCAAGGGCGCACCCGCGGCCCTCGCCGCGCTGCGCTGCCTCTCGCAGCTGAAGCCCGTCAGACGTCCAGTAGGTGTTAGCCTCTCGTCACGCTTCCTGCAACTCCCGACCTGCTCTCCTGCGATGGCACTGCGACGGTGAAATCTGAGGCGACCTCAGAATTTGAGCCCGGCCTGCTCTTCGCAGATGGCACGGCGACGACTGGACTAGGGGCGAACGCATGATTTGATGCAGCCCAGCCGTGTAGAACAGATGCCAATGTCCCAGAAAGAGATAGCCTCTCGCCGCGCACGCCCCCTGCAGCACCCGACCATCTTTCCGCCGACGACAAAGCGAGAGCGACGACCGCAACTGAGCCGAGCCCACTATTTGATCCTGACCTGCTTTCCACCCGTGGCAAAGCGACGAATGCGCCTGGGACGAGCCCAGGATTCGATCTGGCAGCCAATGAGTTGGCAAATCGTCAAGCGATTGCACTGGACCCTGAAACAGCCGCGGCACGATGAAAAAGTCGTCATTCTCAAGAGCCCGCGCGGTCGCCCCCGCCTCTGCGTCGAGCCGATCGCCCCACACTGTGGGGCCGTGCGCGGCTGGGGTGAGGAACACCTGCGAATACCAGAGGTGGTTGACTTGATGGGGATGCTGACGGCGGAGCTGGGGTTGACGCCGTCGCTGAAGCCGCCTGCGCGAGCCTGAGCTCCGATTCGACACCAGACAGCACCGCCGCCGAGCTGCCCGAGTGGAGCGCAGCCGCTGCACTGCGGATGGTCGTCCGGGGCCCGCCCGGCACCTCATGCAGCTGTGGTGCTGTCCCAGCAGCCGCGCCCGTCAGTGCCAATGACCGCTGAGCGAACGAGGTGCACTCCAGCTTGAATCTGCTCACATTCCGAAGATGCGAATCCGTGCATCCTGCTTCTCCTTGAGCTGGTCCGTGGGAGCGGCGGCGGACTGCTGGAGCTCCTCGGCATCCTTCCTTGGATTTGGCTCTCTGCCTGCCCGGCGATCGCCCGAGGAGGTCGTCGGGCGTCCTCTGGGATGTGGGACGTGCTTCTGCTGCGGCCAGACCGGCTTTGGCTTGCACGATGATGGCCGAAGCATCGTCGTACCCCAGCTCCTTGAGAGCGCCCAATGCCCGCCAAGTCTGCCCCACCTCACCATGGTCCGGCGTGTTCCGCAAGCTCTTCGCCGCAGGCCCGCAGTGGGGGAGACCTTTCCCTCCACCTCCTCCTCCTCCTCCTCCTCCTCCTCCTCCTCCTCCTCCTCCTCCTCCTCCTCCTCCTCCTCCTGCTCCTGCTCCTCCTCCTCCTCCTCCTCCTCCTCCTCCTCCTCCTCCTCCTCCTCCTCCTCCTCCTCCTCCTCCTCCTCCTCCTCTTATGTACACACTGGCGCGCGGCCGCACACGCCATCGTGGGCTCACGCTGGCCATTTGACTCGTTCCGATCCTTCGAAGCGGCGGAGCCTGGACGAGGAGGATGTCCGCTGCCACCCGTGGGAGTGGGTCCGTGATGCTGCTGCAGAATCTGCCTGGCCGTGACCCTCTGCAAGAAAAACCGAGCCCACGAGCCTTTCTGCCTCAAACGCCGATGCCAAGCTGGAGAACGAGCGCGGCCAATGTCAGGCCAAACAGGCACAACGTCGGATCGACCAGGCGCTGGGAGGCAGCGAACTGGCCTGGGGGCGATTGGAGTATCGGGCTGTGCTGTGCGCACGCCCCGCCACAAGCCAACTAGCAGCAGAGGGCGGGGGGGAGAAGGGCGAGGTGGAGGAAGGAGGAGACAGGGGCAGAGGACGGGAATGAGAGGAGAGGAGAATTCAGGAGAGGAGACGAGAATCCGAGCCGCGCCTGGCGACCCCGCGGGGGCCAGTCGGGCGGGGGCGCGGGCCGAGAAGCTCGGTGCACACCGCGTCCTGCTCCTGCGCGGAGCAGGGGCCTGGCGCCCGGAGTCCCGCGGCCCCGCTGGCGACGCGAGAGCGAGGGTGAGGCGGAGGGCGAATGTATGCGAATGTGGGGCCCAGGCGGAGAGGCGGAGGCGGAGGGGCGTGCCCTCCGTCTGTCCTGGACCTCCGCCGTCCGCTCGGCAGACGCCGACGCGGCGAAGCCGCGGCCGCCGCCGCGGTGGTGCTGCCTGCCACGCGGAGCGTGCGGGGAGTGGGGGCGCGCGTTTGGAGGGTGGTCGCAGGCACGGACCAGCCTCCCGAGCAGGTCCTCCACGCGCACCTTTCGGGTGGTGATCTCGGGCCAGACCTCGGGCCCGAGGCGGCCCCATTCGGGACGAGGGTTCCCTCGACGAGGCGAACAGGATGCAACATACTCGGGAATCCCCACCAAACAAAACAACACGAAGGCCTGCAGGAATCCGCGCCGCCCAGACAAAAACCATGAAACCCTCCAAGATCCGCCTCCCCTCCCCTCCACTCCCAAGCCTCCGACCCCATGACTCGCTCGTGACGCTGGCCCCCAGACGCACAAACCTTTCCCTGGACGACTCTGCCACCGAGCCGTTCTGGACGGTCCCAGGGCCTGGAAGGCGATCCCAGAGGCCGAAAGCATGGAAGGAGCGGCCGCCGTGTCGGCGGTGGACAAACCTCCCTTTAGTAGACCTCCCCTTAGTGAAAACGGCCTGGGACCGAAACCGACGGACCTGGACCCGCAAAAATGACGGCCGCGACCCCTCTCGCGAACCGAGAACGGCCAATTCCTTGATCGACGTGTCAGGGTAGGAGGTCTGCCCACCCCCGACCGTGGCTTGCTCGGGCCGCCAGAGGTCCGGGGCTCAGGGCGGCCCCTCCTGCAGCATGCAGCAGCCTGCCGGCGTCGGGCCCCTCCCGAGCGGGCTCCGAGAGGCCCTGGGCTCCAGGAGGCGCCGCGGGCTGCCAGCCCGACGAGCTCCCCGCGGCCACATGGGCTCCGGCCCCCGCGCCCAGCACGGAGGCGGGGACGGGGCAGAGGGCGGGAGGATGCCCTGGAGCAGGGCTCGCGCCCAGCAGCAGAGGTATGCCCTTCGTGGCCCCGCTGTCGCCCTTCGTGGCCCTCTCGCTGCCCTTCGTGGCCCCTTTGCTGCCCTCTGTGGCCCCGCTGCCGCCCCTTGCGGCCCCATATACGAATGCCCTCCGTGGCCCCCGCTCGTTCGCGCCCGTCGAGGGCCCCCAAACCTCTGCTGGGCTGCTCTGGAGGAGCTCCTGGGGATTCGGCAGGGTGGCGTCCATAATTCTTGACTCGTTGGGAGCTGTGGAAGTCGCCTGCTTCCCGAGTTCCTGGGCAGTCGCCAGCTCCCAGGATTCCTGCAAGGTCGTTGGATTCCTCTGATCTCCGGAAGTCGGCAAATCCACCAGAATTCTCCAAATTCTGGCTCTTCCGCTGCCGACGCTCACCGTCGCCGCGCCCCCCCTGGTCCCCCATCCTCCCTTTCTCTCCCTATCCCTCCCTTCCCTCCCCGTCCCTCTCCTCCTCCCCCCCCCATCACCCCTCCTCTCCTAGCCGCCCCTCCTCTCCTGCTCGCCTCACCGCCCCTCCCCGCCTCATCTCTCGTTCCTCGCCGCCCCTCCTCGTCGCTCCCCCTCATACCCCATCACCCCATCCTTGAAGGGGCCCTGGGACACAAATAAATAGACATCAAAAAAAGATTCCTCATATCTTCCCACACTTTCTGGGCTTCTGTTTTTCCCCCCCCCTCCCCCAGATTTCCAGGGGAATCGACGATTCATTGTGTCTGTGTATGTTTTTCTCCCTCCTGACGTCCTCCCCTCGATCCTCGTCGCCCCTCGTCCGCGCTGCTGACATCCTCCTGACATCCTCCCTCGCTCCTGACATCCTCCCTCGCTCCTCGTCGCCCCTCCCTCGCTCCTGACATCCTCCCTCGCTCCTGACATCCTCCCTCGCTCCTGACACCCTCGCTCCTCGTCGCCCCTCCCCATCCCTCCAGGTGGCCGCGGCGCGGAGAGCGCGGCGGGCGGAGCGCGGCTCGCGCGGAGCGCGGCGCGCGGGAGCGCGCGGCCTTCGCAAATGCAGTCGTCGCCCTCCGTCGTGCACGAGCAGCTGGGGTCCTGCCCCCCACGGGAGGGAGGATGGATCTGGTGACCTGCCTCGGGTGCGGACCCCCCCCCCAAAAAAAAAAAAACACGATTATTCACTGCGTGGAGCTCCCCATGTGTGCATCCATTCGCATGGACCTGTCCGCCGTGATTGTCTAAGAAATAAAAAAGAAAGAAAAAAAATATAACATCTAAAAAAAAAAAGAAAAACAATAAAAAAGGAATAAATAAAAGAAAAAAACAAAAAGGGCCGCGAGAGCTTTCGAATCTAAACGGGCTTCAGTTTGTTGACGGTCTGGTCATGAATCTAACTGCGAATGAATTGGAGTGCGAACTGGGATGAATGGGGGATGATGGTCTGGTGTTGTGAAGTGGTGGGAAGGAATGGGGGTGGGAAAAATGGGGGGTGGGTGGGTGGTGGGTGGGGGTGATGGGGGAGTGTTGAATTGGGGGGGTGGATGAATGTGGTGGTGTGTGTAAATGCCTCAGTAGTACGAGCGCGTCTCTGCGCATGAGCCTGGGACCTCCTGGGGCCTCCTGAAACCTACTGGGGCTTCCTGGGGCCTCCAGGAGCCTCTCCAGGGACCCCCTAGGGAGGATTCGTGCCCCAGGAGAGACCCAGTCTATAGCAACAGACGTACATAAAACATGTCGGATTGGAGCCACATGTTGTACACACCAGGCAGCTCGTGCAGCACGAGCCGATCCCGCCGCCAAAATGGCGCGAGCCGCGGAGCGCGGCTGGGAGGCTCCGCAAACAGCGGCCTCCACAATCAGCGTGCACGCCACGCTGCGCGGGTGTGCGCCGTCAGGTGAGGCAGCCACGCGAGCCACCATCCACCCCGTGCCAGGCCTGAAAAGGCCTAGACCACCGAAGGCACTCCCCAAATCACTCACTCAGGCGCCTGCCCGTCTTCGGGTCCAGGCCAGCCCTGACGTTGGCAATCTTCAGGTTGCGCAGACGCAGCGCGTTGCCAGAGGCAGCCACACACAGCCTGCCGAGCGACCTGTGCTTGCCGTTGAGCTCCTTGGCATAGGCCTTGCAACGAGTGCAGATCCTGAAGCCGTTGATGCTGAGCAGCTCGTGGCCTGCCCCACCTGCTGCCTGAGTGCCAGATCCCTCGGGCACGTCCTCCGACATGGAGACCTGGGCGACCTCGAGACCTGCACTTGCCTGGCTGTCGGCGGGATCCGCCTCCGCCCTGCCCTCGGCCTCGCGCGCAGCGCGGGCAGCTGCCGCTGCGCACGAGGGCATCGCCAGGCGAACGATCCTGGCCGCTGCTGCTGCTGCTGGTGCCACCGCCTGCCGCCGCCGCCTCGGGGCGTTGCAGATCCTGCAAGCCCGCAGCAGGATGCTCGCGGGCGGCGTCGGCGAGCCTCGGCGCTTCCTGCTGGAGCTCGGCGTCGGGGTACGCCACGCGCTCGCCGACGTGAGCGCTCCTCGCCTCCTGCTCAAGCCTGTGCGCAGCCGCCAGCGCCACCGCCACAGCGCCTGCGGAAGCCAACGCCGACGCCGTAGGCTTGCGTCTCGTGCAACTAGCCACGGGCGCAAACGGCTTGGCCACACACGGGTCCTTGAGCAGCCTCTTGATGCTGAGGTCCGTGTACGCCGTCTTGAGGCAGGCCCTGCAATGTACTCCACCTCTCGCCACCTTGACGACGTTGTGCCTTGTGGCGCTGAGCGGAGGCCCCTTGTGAATCGGCTTGCAGTTCGGGTCGATGTCCAGCTTCAGGTCAGCTGCCTCGCACCCCGCACGCGCAACCCAGCGCGCAACTCCGTCGAGGGTGAGCGAACGCCGCTGCCAGGCTTCGCGTAGCTCAAGCGGCGCCCTCACTGCAGCTGCAACCGCCTTCGCCGTACGGTCGGCCTCCCAGTTGCCTCGCCTGTCGCGTGCAGTGATGTCTCCGTTGCGGACCATGGCCGACGTGGCGTGCGCCTTCACTTTCTGAATCGTGAGCCCTTGGGGCCCAATGCCACCGAAGTCGTCCAGAGCTGCCCAGACGCGCCTCCATACGCATCCCCAGGCAGAGGTCGCCTTGGTGGTGCTGGCCTCGCCCCTATCCAGCAGGCCCTTGGTGACGTACGAGGCGTCGAAGGCCGCAGTGATAGGTGGCAGGCTGTGGCGAAGAAGCGCCAGGCACCCCAGGAGTTCGGCCCCGTCGATGGACTGCAATGGCCCAGGCAATGGCGTGCCCAAAGCCTTGACGGCCGACTCGGGTCCTGGGTCCCAGTTGTCGTCTCCGTCTGGCAGCTGCACCATGCCGCGAGCCCCCGCCGCCAGCGAGGACCCAACCTCGTAGACCGCTCCGTCCGAGTAGACCGTGGTAACGGAAAACGGGAACCCGTCGCCGCCCTTGACCCACTGCACGTGCGCAAGTAGGTCGTCGCTTGGAGGACGCCACGCGTGGAGGGGCTCGGGCAAGACCAGCCTCTCCAGCAAGGTAGTAATGGTCACGCTGGTGCTGAAGGGAACAAGCTTGCTGACCTCGGCAGGGAGCGTCAGGCTCGGCCAGCTGTCCTGGCAGGCCGTGTGCCTGTGCCAGAGGGTGCCAGGCTGGCCAGGGTGCAACTGGCAACATGGCGTGCGGGCGATCCTTGGGGCTCCGTGGTCCTTCCGAGGCCTCCTGGCGCTTCCTGCGGCCTCCTGGGGCCTCCTGTGGCTTCCTGAGGCCTCCTGGAGCTTCCTGGGGCCTCCTTGAGCCTCTTGGGACATCATGTGGCCTCTTGGCCTCTTGAATCGTTCTGTGGCCTCCCGATGCCTCCTGGGGCCTCATGTGATCTCCTGGGGCCTCCTGGAGCCCGTTGGAGCCTCCTGTGGTACCCTGAGGAGAAGATGTGCCCACGAGTCTGGCAACCAAAACAAGCAAACCGATCGAGACATCCTCAAAATCTGGCCCACCTGGGGGGTGAAAATGAGCGCCTCGCTCGAGACGTCCTCCAAATCTGCTCCGAAAGTGAAGGATGTTGGCGCTTGAGACATCCCCACAAAACGGCCGCGAACGGGACCGTGCAATACCCCTCGGCGGCTCCCCTTCGGGGGGTGAAAATGAGCGCCTCGCTCGAGACGTCCTCCAAATCTGCTCCGAAAGCGAAAGATGTTGTGACAAAAAAACAACGCTTGAGACATCCCCACAAAACGGCCGCGAACGGGATACCCCTCGGCGGCTCGCCTTAGGGGTGCTCAAACCAGCGCCCCGCCTGAGACATCCTCACAATCTGCTGTGTGTTGAGCAAGTCAGACAATGAGAAGGTCTGAGTATGAATAAGTCTGGGTATGAGTGAGTCTCGGCATGAATAAGTCTGAGTATGAGTGGGTCTGAGTCTGAGTAGGTCTGAGTATGAGTAAGCTAATATGATCAGATCTGCGTATGAGTAAGTCTGTGTATGAGTCAGTCTGTGTATGAGTAAGTCTAGGTATGAGGAGGAGGAGGAGGAGGAGGAGGCGTCCAAGAAATAACAAGAACCCCATCTTAGGAGATGGGGAAAAACGAAACAGAGCGACCTGATTGGGAATCCTGTTTTGGGAGGGATGTCGAGCGAAACAAAGACACAGGCTGCGCGCTGGGCCCCCTGAGTAGGGCTCTTCGTGCCAAAGTGCCTACGGTGCAGCCTCGAGCGAGCATCGTCGACGGCGAGACCGAGGGCAGAGCAGAGAGATGCAATGAACAACGGGGACCGCCTGAAAACAGCTCGGGATCTAACGCCGGCCCCATGGAGGAGGTCGAGAGGCCCTGGCGCGACACAGTCGCGCCGCTGGATCTCTGAGGTTGATGACGCGCACGCGGGGGGGAAGTCCAGGGGGGCTCTCGAAGGCAGCGAAGCCTTCTCGGAGGCGATCGGGAGGCATCAGAGGGAGCCGCCCAGAAGGCGGGAAGGGAATCATCCTTACCAACTTGTTGCCCATGCGAGGGTGTCGCAAGGCACTGCGAACTTTCTTGGGCCAGCTCTGCGGTGCGCAAGCGACGTGGAGTGAGGGATACCCATGACGGCGCGAATTTGAGGGGCGTATGCAACGGTTGGCATTTGGGTTAGATGCTCGTTCTGAGGACCTTCCTGGAGCCACTCGCTCCACTCATGCGCCAATGCTACGTCGAACAACCGTCGACTTGAGTAGGACTTAAACATTGAAGTTGAAACGAAATTGAGTCGAACTAGAGTCGAACTGGAGTCAAACTAGAATCGAACAGATCCGTTAGGTGGGCCCCAAGAAGGTCCCCGAAACGAGCATCAAATGGGGGGGGGGAGTCAGGACAGGGCAGGACACGACAGGCGCCGGCATTGATCCACAGGCGCGCGCGGGGAGCACCCCCTGCGGAGGACGGCGGTGGGGCAAGAGTCCCTCGCATGTGCATCTTGTCGGCCCGACATTACCGTGGACCGCGAGATCGCCGCTTCCTTCCTTCGCAGCTTCCTCGGTCAGTTATGGTTCTTAGTTGAAACCTTCGCATGCTCATGTGCGCTAACTGTCCGTGGGGAAGGCAGGAAGGGAGGGATAGGAGGAGAAGGGGCAAGGAAGGGAGAAGAGGTCCAGGGATCCGGGGGGCTCGAGGCTACAATAAAAGGTGATTACAGAAAAGAAAGAGAGAAAGAGAGAGAGGGAACAAAAAAAAAAACAAAAAAACAAAAATGACAGAGAGAGAAAGAACAACAAAAAAAAATGCGGGACACAAAAAACAGCATAGATCCAGGGATCCGCAGGCTTTGCGGGGGGCTGGGGGGGTTCTCTGCAGGGTCCTGGACGGTCACAGGGAGGGTCCCAGGCGTGCCCTGCCTTGGACCTTGACTCGTGCCGGGCGCACGTGCGAGAATTAGGTCGGGCCTGTCCCCCTAAGCTTAAGTCGGGCGTGTCCCTCTACAGTGGGGTTTTCGACGAAAAATAAACAAAATACTTAAAATATTCCAAAATTGACACACAACAACAAACAAACAAAAAACCCAGACTATTTTTTGACGATTGTCTTGAATATTTCCCCTGGAGAAAGACAGGCCCGACTTAAGACTAGAAGGAATCACGTGGCCGAGTACACTACCAGAGAGGCTCTTTCGACGACAACGGTGCACTTTCCCGCAGTCCAGCAGCAGTTGCCAAATGTCTGCAGGGCAGACAACTCGATCGATAGGCTGCCGAATGTGTGACGCGGCGAACTGCACCGTAGCCATCCATAGCGGACCGAGCACGCAGTTCCAACGGATCGGTGGGCGACTCGGCACGGTACACAACGCCTGCTCCGTGTCACATGCTGCTCTACGTCACCCTCGAAGGGCGGGGCGCGACTTGACCGCCCTCACGCTTTTTGAAGATCTCTGGAGGCCGCTGGAGACCAGAACTAGCCTAACAAAAGACCCAACCGTACGCAGTTGTGAGTACCGCAATTGTGAACACCATCTTCGCCCACGCTCCCTATGTGGCCACGGCCTCCCGCCGGAGCCCGACGTGCTGAGGGACACGTTCGCGGCCGTCTTCGCGGGCGCCGACGACGACGAGGACGGCGCCCCCCTGACCGAGGAGCAAAAGCAGGAGAGGGCTCTGAGAGCCATGAGGGAAGCTGCCACTGGCGCCCCTCATGGTTCGTGGTGTTGGGTCCTGGCACCCCCACTAGGGCCTTCGGTGGAGCCCCCTATGGGGCCACGAAACGTGTGAGGGGTGTGCCAAAATGGGTGTGGGTACCGCATGCGAGTTCCGCCACTGGGACCTTAGGTGGAGCTCCCTATGGGACCACGAAACGTGTGAGGGGTGTGCCAAAATGGATGCGGGTACCGCATGCGAGTTCCGCCACTGGGACCTTAGGTGGAGCTCCCTATGGGACCACGAAACGTGTGAGGGGTGTGCCAAAATGGGTGTGGGTACCGCATGCGAGTTCCGCCACTGGGACCTTAGGTGGAGCTCCCTATGGGGCCACGAAACATGTGAGGAGTTTGCCAAGATGGCCAAAGGCCGCCATGCGAAGTCCGCCACTGGGACCTTAGTTGGAGCTCCCTATGCGGCCACGAAGCGTGTGAGGGGTGTGCCGACAGAGAGACATGCGGAGGGCAGAGGCAAGGAGGGGGAGAAGGGAGGAGGGGGAGAAGGGGGAGGAGGAGGAGGAGGAGGACGAGGAGGAGGAGGAGGAAGAGGAGAAGGAGGAGGAGGAGGAGGAACGCGGGGCACCGTCTATTCAAAACGAGGACCCAACACCACAGGATGGTTGGGAAAAATCAGAAGCATCGGTCCCTATTTCGCTTGGCAGCCGCATCGGGGGCGAGACGCGTCGTTTGCGAACCAGCCGCGGCCAGCCTCGCGGGAGCCCTCGCAACAGAACTGTTGGCCAGGAGGGAGAGGGATAGAGAGAGTGAGAGGAGGCAGGGGAGGGAGAGGGGCGGCCAAAAATTGCCTGAGAATGAGCCTAAGCTTAAGTCGGGCGTGTCCCTCTACTGGGGGATTTTGGACGAAATATAAAAAATCACAAGGAAAACTCCTAAATGGTAAATAAAAAAAATAAAAAAAAATCCCCAGGATACTCCAGATTTCGTAATAAAAGGGAGGGGGTCTGGACCCTCCAAGACAAGCCATTTCAGACACCCCCCCCCGTGGGAGAACCCTCCAAAACATCGTCCCCAGACCCCCCCAGGCCCTCCAAGATAGCTTGGAAGAGACCCCCCCCCGAAATGAGACCCCCCTCCCTTTATTACGAAATCTGGAGTATGTTTTTTGACTACTTTTGAATATTTCTCCTGTAGAGGGACAGGTCCGACTTAAGCCTAAGGGTCAAAGGGTCAGAGATGCGAAGAATACCCTTGTCAAGTCGCCCCGTACTCGGACAAGTTGAAATGATGGCGCTCGCCTGCCAGAGGCCCTCGCGCGCCTGGGGGTCCCAGAAGCTGCCACGCAGGAGGAGTCCATGTGGAGACAGGGTCACGCCCAGCGCCGCACATCCAGCGCCCCCATGGTCCTTCTCATCTTCCCTGTCCTGCTCCTCGTGCTCCTCCCTTTCATGACTCGCCCCCTCCCTTGTAGAACGCTCCTGGGGACATCTCTGTGTGCTTGCTCTTTGGACTGCCTCAGGCCGCCCAAGGACCTCTCTGGGCTGCCTCGGGGTCCTCTCGGGGCCTCATCTGGGCCGTTTGGGCTTCAGCGGAATTACCAGGGAGCTCGATTAGGGCACTCTGGCGGGCATTCTCGCTTTTGGGAAGGCCCTGGAGGCTCCAGGAAGCCCGACTCCACTACCTCTGGCACACCAGCATGGGCACAGGGACCACTAGCACCGGCCCCCCGTTCAGTTCAGAGAAAGGCACCCCAGTTCAGAAGCAGCGGCTAAGGAGCAGACTTCAAGACAGGCAAGGCACCAACCGACTCCCATACCTTCCCCTCCTTCTCAGATGCCCTCCTTCCCTCTGCCCTGAAATCTCTCGTGCCCTCCCCCCCGGACCCCTGCCCTCCCGCACACCTCCCCGCACACCCCTCCCGCCTCCCCTTCCGCATCCTGCTCCATCGCCCTCCCTCTCGCCCCCCTCCTCCGCGCTATCCCCCCACCACCACCACGCAGAACAGAGCGAGCTGAGACGGCGGCCACTCAAAATCGGTCCCCGGACCCCAAACCAGGGCCCAAACGCACCACCTTCCCGAGCTGCGTCCAGCCGTGGCGACGAGGGGGCACCCCAGAGGCCAACTGCCGCTGTCTCGACTGGCCCTCCTCTGAACCACACACACCCAACCACCCGCTCCCCATCACCCGCGCCTTCGACGCTAGGAGGAGGAGGAGGAGGAGGAGGAGGAGGAGGAGGAGGAGGAGGAGGAGGAGGCGGAGGAGGGAGAGGTAAGGGAGGAGGCGGAGGAGGGATGGAAACATGTGGGAGTGAGGAGGAGGGTGCGTTTGAGGATGGGAGGAATGAAGGAGGGAGGGTAGGAATGACAGGAGGATGGGAGGATTGAGGAGGGAAGAGGCTAGCAGCAGCAGCAGGAGGAGGAAGCGGAGGAGGAGGAGCGAGGGGAGGGGGGAGGGAGGGGGGGAGAACCCCGCCCACCCCGTGCCGAGACGCGGCCAAGAGTCGGCCCCACCCGCCCGGCCGTCTTCCTGCAGGAAGGGGGCAGCCCCCGCGGCTGGTGTAGAGGCTGCGTACCCGGTGATCCGCGGGGGGCCCTGGCGCGGAGGAGGGGGAGTGAGGGGATGAGGCCGAGAATTCGACCGGCGGCTTGCCCAGAAAGTGATGGGGAGGACGAGGAGGAGGGGGAAAAGGAGGAGGAGGAGGAGAAGAAGAAGGTAGAGGAGAAGGAGGAGGAGGAGGAGGAGGAGGAGGAGGAGGAGGAGAGGGGGAGCAGGACGGAGGAGAAGAAGGAGGAAGAGGAGGGGAGGAGGAGGATTCGCCGAGCGGCTTGCCTCAGAAAATTATACTAACGGAGTTCCCCACATAAAGATATTAACGGTCTCGTGGGACCCATGGGGTACGACAACATCAACACGAAGGAGCTGGAGAGGTGGGGCCTCCCTGGGGAGGTGGGAAGGGCACGAAACCATGTAAATAGTATTGTTTTCCCTCCTCGCTCAGGCGGGGCCTCCCTGGAGGGATGGGAGGGTGGGAGGGGCACGAAACCATGTAAATAGTATGGTTTTCGGATACCCTCCTCGCTCAGGCGGGGCCTCCATGGAGGGGTGGGAGGGGCACGAAACCTGATAAATAACAGGTGATGCGAATACCCTCCTCGCTCAGGCGGGGCCTCCCTGGAGGGGTGGGAGGGGCACGAAACCATGTAAATAGTATGGTATGCCGTTACCCTCCTCGCTCAGGCGGGGCCTCCCTGGAGGGGTGGGAGGGGCACGAAACCATGTAAATAGTATGGTATTCCGATACCCTCCTCGCTCAGGCGGGGCCTCCCTGGAGGGGTGGGAGGGGCACGAAGCCATGTAAATAGTATGGTATTCCGATACCCTCCTCGCTCAGGCGGGGCCTCCCTGGAGGGGTGGGAGGGGCACGAAACCATGTAAATAGTATGGTGTTCCGATACCCTCCTCGCTCAGGCGGGGCCTCCCTGGAGGGGTGGGAGGGGCACGAAACCATGTAAATAGGATGGTATTCCGATACCCTCCTCGCTCAGGCGGGGCCTCCCTGGAGGGGTGGGAGGGGCACGAAAACCATGTAAGTAGTATGGTTTTTCGGATACCTCCCGCTGAGGCGGGGCCTCTCCTCCTCTCCTCCTCTTCCTCCTCCTCCTCCTCCTCCTCCTCCTCCTCCTCCTCCTCCTCCTCCTCCTCCTCCTCCTCCTCCTCTTCCTGGAGGGTATCGGAAAACATGCTGTTTACACGGTTTCGTGTCCCCCCTCCACTCCTCCAGAGAGGCCGCGCTTGAAAGAGGAGGGTCGCGGAAGGCATTACTCTTCGCCAGGTTTCGTAGCCCTCCCCCCTTCCAGCGGGGCCCCGCCAAAGCGAGGAGGGCATCAAGAAAATGGGTCCCACGATACCGTTAATCTCTTTATGTGGGGAACTCCGTTAGCATAATTTTCGGATACCCTCCTCGCTCAGGCGGGGCCTCCCTGGAGAGGTGGGAGTGGCACGAAACCATGTAAATAGTATGGTTTTCGGATACCCTTCTCGCTCAGGCGGGGCCTCCCTGGAGGTGTGGGAGGGGCACGAAACCATGTAAATAGTATGGGTTTGCCTCCCTGGAGAGGTGGGATGGGGCACGAAACCATGTAAATAGTATGGTTTTCGGATACCCTCCTCGCTCAGGCGGGGCCTCCCTGCAGGGGTGGGAGGGGCACGAAACCATGTAAATAATATGGGTTTCGGATACCCTCCTCGCTCAGGCGGGGCCTCCCTGGAGAGGTGGGAGGGGCACGAAACCATGTAAATAGTATGGTTTTCCGATACCCTCCTCGCTCAGGCGGGGCCTCCCTGCAGGGGTGGGAGGGGCACGAAACCATGTAAATAGTATTGTTTTCGGATACCCTCCTCGCTCAGGCGGGGCCTCCCTGGAGAGGTGGGAGGGGCACGAAACCATGTAAATAGTATGGTTTTCGGATACCCTCCTCGCTCAGGCGGGGCCTCCCTGGAGAGGTGGGAGGGGCACGAAACCATGTAATTAGTATGGTTTTCCGATACCCTCCTCGCTCAGGCGGGGCCTCCCTGGAGAGGTGGGAGGGGCACGAAACCATGTAAATAGTATGGTTTTCGGATACCCTCCTCGCTCAGGCGGGGCCTCCCTGGAAGGGTGGGAGGGGCACGAAACCATGTAAATAGTATGGTTTTCCGATACCCTCCTCGCTCAGGCGGGGCCTCCCTGGAGGGTTGGGAGGGGCACGAAACAATGTAAATAGTATGGTTTTCGGATACCCTCCTCGCTCAGGCGGGGCCTCCCTGGATGGGTGGGAGGGGCACGAAACCATGTAAATAGTATGGTTTTCCGATACCCTCCTCGTAGGTATGGTATGGTACGGTATGGTATGATATGGTATGGTATGGTACTGGAGGTATGGTATGGTATGGTACGGTGTGGCATTGGTGTGATATGGTATGGTATGCTATGGTACGCCATGGTATGGTTTGGTACGGTATGGTACGTATGGTGTGGTATGGTATGGTATGGTATGGTATGGTATGTGTGGTAGGAACTATGGTATGGTATGGTGTGTGTGGTAGTAATAATATTGTGCTGTATGGAAGATGGAGCGGGAGGTGGGTGGAAGGAAGAGGGTGTTTTGGAAACAAGAACCCCATCAGATGTGGGGAAAAAGGAGGAGGAGAGGAGGAGGCAGGAGGAGGGGGAGGAGGAGAAAGGGGAGGGGAAGGAGGAGTAACGATGGCGCCGTCGAGACGACCGAACGATTCCGAACGATTACGAGGCGATGGTCCCGAGGGAGGGAGGGCGACCAGGCGGCCTGCGCGGTCCCCACCGTCGCGGGCTTCGGCCCGTGTCCCGCGTCGCTCCTCTTGGCGCATTGATCAGGCGGGTCCTCCTCATCCTCCTCTTATCATCCCCCCTCCCCCTCCTCCTCCTCCTCCTCCTCCTCTCCCCCACCCCCGGTCGATGAGGCACCTCTTCCAGTCGAAAGCTCCCCTGGGCGCGCGGACGCATGCGCCCCCCTCCACTGGGGCCTTCGGTGGAGCTCCCTATGGGGGCACGAAACGCCGTGCTGGGTTTGGCGGACGCATGCGCTCCCCCCCCACTGGGAACTTTGGTGGAGCTCCCTATGGGGCCACGAAACGCTGTGCTGGGTGTGGCGGACGCATGCGCCCCCCCCCCCACTGGGGCCTTCGGTGGAGCTCCCTATGGGGCCACGGAACGCTGTGCTGGATGTGGCGGACGCATGCGGGCTGTGCCACTGGGACCTTCGGTGGAGCTCCCTGTGGGGCTACGAAACGTGTGAGAGGTGTGCCGAGAGCAAAGGCAAGGAGGGGGAGGAGGGAGGAGAGGGAGGAGGGAGGAGGGAGGATGGCGGAAGGAAGGAGAGACGCGGGGCACCGTCTCTTCAAAACGAGGACCCAACACCACAGGATGGTTGGGAATAAACTGCCCTGCATCGTTGAAACTACAACAAGCGTTCCAAACGAACGTGCGGGGCGTTAAAGCGACAGCACAAATGGGAAAAGGAACCACGAGGCATCCTTGAATCTGTTGCAAGCACGTAACATGAATATGCGCGGCGCGACGACAGCCCCAGTTTGAAAACGGCCCCCACCCCTGCACCCTTGACACTGCTGCGAACGTTCAAAACGTATGCGCACTGCGCTAATGCGAGAGGCCCGTTTTGACAACGACACACCTCCATCCTTGAAACTGTTGCAAACTTGTGAGACGAATGTGCGCGGAGCTGAAGCGAGAGCCCCATTGTGAAAACGACCCTCCCCCATCCTTGAAACTGCTGAACGCGTTTAAAACTAATGCGCGTGACGCTAAGGCCTCCATTTTGAAAAGGGCCCTCCCCCATCTTTGAAGCTGATACAAGCTTCAAGTTTCAGGATTAGAAATGGTGAAGTCTCAGGCGAAACGCCCTGCCCGCCCTACCGACACGCCTGGGGTCGCGACAGGGAAGAATTGTCTACAAGGAAGAAACATCGAGGAGGAGGGGGAAAAAGGGACGAGGAGGAGGAGAACAACGCTGAAGGGAGGAAGGAGGAGGAGGGAGGTGAGAGGGAGGAAAGGAGAAGAGAAGAGGAGGGAGTAGGGAGGAGGAGGGAGGAGAAGGGGGGCAGGAGCAGGGGGGGAAGGAGGAGAAGGAGGAACAGTTTTATCCAAGTGCGCCCGAGGGCAAGCGGTGACTGCGACGCCTCTGGGCGCAGGCGACGCCCGACTGTTGGGAGAATGGGCTCGGGCACATCCGCAACGCGGAGTGTCAACCCCCAAGCAGTGCAGGCCCAGGAGCCACATACCTCCTCGGTCGGCGCGCGCGTCAATGGAAAGGCCACCAAACTTGACGGCGAAGACACGCTCGCCGAAAGGCATGGGCCTCAGATGGCAGTGTCCTGAAGGCTGCCACGGCATCCCTGAACGCGGGTCCGCGCGCGCCCGAAGCCTGTCCAGCCGTGAGCGGGCTTTCCGATGGACCCCGCATGGGCAGTGTTGTGTCCAGAGCCGCATATTCGATTTTCGAGTGCGCGCCACACGTGGTACAGAAGGCACCGAAGACACGGGAGCCCACGCTCCTTCGCCGGCGGCAGGCCCCACGAGCACGAGCCACTCGGGGGCAAGGCGCAAATCTGAAACCGCCTGGGAACGGCACTGGATCGTGGCAGCCGTCAGCGTGGGAATCCACCCGCGTCCCCGCACAGGCCAAGGCTGGCCGTGTCGGGGCGGGGGGAGCACGGGTCACCGGCCTGGGGGGTCCGAGCCAAGACCTCGGCGCCACGAAGGAGGCGAGCTTGGGAGACCCAGCGCTCGGCCCGCTTGTGCAGGACGGGGCGAAGCTGGTCACAAGCTGGACCACTGGTCCCTGACGGCGGGCGCCTGCCACCTATCTAGTAACTCGCAGTCGGCCCCGCGGGCGACGCCGCGCTGGATTGGCGGCTGTAAGACTCGCCTGCCTCAATAGGAGGAGACGGAGGAGGAAGCGCAGGGAGGGGGGGGAGAAGGAGGAGGGGGGAGGTGGTGGATATGACTTGGACGTGGGGGTGGAGGTGTGGAAGTGTGGAGGTGTGGACGTGTGAAGTGGAGGTGTGGAGTCAAGGAGTTAAGGTCCATGGAGAGTGCGGAAGCGAAGATAAAGGAGGGCACCGACGACGCCTACTACGAGCAGGGGCAGCGGAAGGAGCAACAGCAGTGGCAGGAATAGCCACAGCAGCAGCAGCAGCCGCCGTCGCAGCAACAGGAGCAGCAGTAGTAATGGGAGCACGCCGTCCCTCCTCCACTTCCCCCTGCTCCTCCTCCCCGTCCTCCTCCACCACCAACAGCATCGTCACTCGCGTCATCCCCAGCATCGTCGTCGTCGTCATCATTATCATCAGCAGCAGCATGAGCATGAGGATCATCATCATTATCAACATCAGCAGCATCATCATCATCACCACCATCACCATCACGATCACCATTATCATCATCATCATCAGCAGCAGCATCATCAGCATCAGCATCAGCATCAGCAGCAGCAGCATCATCATCATCATCATCACCACCACCATCATCATAATCATCATCAGCAGCATCATCAACATCATCATCAGCAGCAGCATCATCAGCATCACCATCATCGTCATCATCAGCATCAGCATCATAATCATAATCAGCATCAGCAGCATCATCATGAGCAGCATCTTCATCATCATCAGCATCGTCATCGTCAGCATCCTCCTGATCATCATCATCGTCATCATCATCAGCATCATCCTCAGCATCAGCATCATCGGCATCGTCATCAACATCAGCATCCGCATCGTCATCATCATCATCATCATCATCATCATCATCGTCATCAGCATCAACAGCATCATCGTCGCAATCAGCATCAGCATCATCCTCATCAGCATCATCATCAGCATCAGCATCATCAGCATCATCGTCATTGCCATCGTCATCATCATCACCATCACCACCACCACCACCCCCACCATCATCATCACCAGCAGCATCATCAGCATCATCATCACCGCCGCCACCAACATCATCATCAGCAGCATCAGTATCATCAACATCATCATCAACAGCATCAGCATCAGCATCAGCATCAGCATCATCATCATCATCATCATCGTCGACATCCTCCACATCATCATCAGCATCTACAGAATCATACTCATCATCAGCTTTATCAGAATCAGCATTATCATCAGCATCAGTATCAGCATCATCAGCAGCATCATCAACATCATCAGCATTGTCGTCGTTGTCGTCGTCGTGACCGTCATCCTCATCAGTATTATCGTCGTCCCCGTGACTACAATCATCATCATCATCATCATCATCATCATCATCATCATCAGCATCATAATCATCATCATCATCAGCATCATGATCATGACCATCATCATCATCATCATCATCACCACCATCATCATCATCATCATCATCATCATCATCATCATCATCACCGTGATCACCATGCCCACCACCACCAGCACCAGCGCCGTCGTCGTCGTCGTCGTCGTGATCAGTGTCATCGTCAGCAGCATCAGCAACTCCTCGTCGTCATCAGCATAATCATCATAAGCATCACCATCATCAGCAACATCATCAGCCTCACAACCACCATCATAGTCAGCAGCAGCATCCTCGTCATCGTCCTCCTCCCCGTCATCATCACCGTCGTTATCGTCCTCGTCGTCGCCTCCAGAATCCTCGTCATCGTCGACGTCATCATCGTCCGTTCCATTCGCGAAAATTCCCTGTTCCTCCTGATGGTGATGCAATTCCTCAGCGTCCTTCTCCTGCTCGCAATGCATGGCATGACCAGCCTTTCCGTACATTTGATACACTATCTCCTCCGTCTTCTCCACCGCACGAATTACCCCGATCAGCCGATTGCTCCTCCTCCTCCTCCTCCTCCTCGTCCTCCTCCTCATCATCATCCTCCTCGTCCTCCTCCTCATCATCATCAGCATCAGCATCATCATCAGCATCAGCATCATCATCAGCATCAGCATCATCAGCATCATCTTCCTCCTTTTCCTCCTCCTCAACTTAACCCTCATCCTCATCATCAGCGTCATCAACATCACCACCATCATCACCTTCACTCACCATCACCATCAACATCACCATCACCGTCACCATCACCATCACCATCTCTATCATCATCACCACCATCATCACCACCATCACCATCACCATCACCATCACCATCACCATCACCATCACCATCACCATCACCATCATCATCATCATCATCATCATCATCATCATCATCATCATCAGCATCATCACTTTCTGTTCATCTCCCTCCTCCCCCTCCTCCCACTCCTCTCGCCCCATCGTCCTCCTCATGTTCCTGATTTACATTCGTCCCATCACCATCCTCTCACCGTCTATCCCTACCCCTGTCCCCCCCGTTCCCCCACCCACCCAACCACCCACTCACACCTCCCCCCACTTGCGTTCCGTCGACCAGTGTCAATGTGGTTCCCCCCCTGAACTATGCAAAGTGCGCCCCCCATTCAAACTACACGTATCGTCACCTCGGCTCAGCTGAAAGCATCCAGAGCCTCGGCGAGAGCACGAATCTGGAGCGGGTATATCAACTAGTATGCTCGCCTTTTCGTATCACCTTCGACAAAACACAATAAATTGTACGTCGTGACCCTATCTGGTTGAATAAAGTGTCGTCACAGTGTGGGCATGAGAAAGACTCTCACGCGCGCATGGACCGCTGTTGGCACCTGGGGTACATTGCTGAGCCGGAGAGCCAGAGCGGCGCATGGCGCACACGGCGCACGTGGTGCACCTGGGGCACTTGGCGCGTCTGGCGCGCCTGGCGCGACTGGCGCAAATGAAGCGACTGTCGAAGCTATCGCGCCCGAGGCAACTCGAGCCCTTGGCCCGGCTGGCATACCTGGCGCACTCGGCGTCCTCACTGGTTAGCCATGGTTGTCCATGGGGTGGCGATCGCACTGAAGCGGAGCCACGGGTGCTGCTTGCGCTTGCAGGCTGGGGGGTCCGCGAGACAGGCTGCGGCCTTTTCATCGTAAGAACTTGACCCCGCCCCACATTCGCCGTCCTTCCTCTCCCCATCCGCTCCCTCCCCCTGACCCTCACCGTCCCCCTCATCATCCAGGAGGAGGACGACGAGGAGGAGGAGGAGGAGGAGGAGGAAGACCTCATGTTCCTTGTCCTACCCCGTCTCGTAGCGCGGCACACCACTGACAAGGCCGGCCGGCCGCGCCTCCTCGCAGTCGCAGGAGAGGCCCGCCTGGGGTTTTGGCAGGCTGGAGCGGCATGGCACAGCAGGACAGGAGGAGGAACCAAGACGACCTCGCGGATCGCCGTGCCAGGTACGTGAGGTAATGTTGCTCTCATCGTACTTAAGGACCACATCCCAGAAATAATTTCGAGCACCTGAAAAGTGTCGAAACAGTGTCGAAACAGTGTCGTACGAGTGTCGCCTCCGAGAGTCCGACACGTGAAAAACCATCAGGTTTCGGTACTTTCTTGGTGCTCGAAATTCTTTCTGGCGATCAAAGCTACAGTATGTTGGAACATCATAAACGCAAGTTTATGGTCGAGTCAGTCTCCAACACGCCCCAACAACGCGCTGCACGGCTGAGTGGCCGACCACGCGCCAGGCGCAGCTGCACGCGCTTCGTGACGCCTTTCGCCCTCCTCCCCCCGTCCTTCCCCAGATTCTCACATTTGGATTCACATGCACTCGTTTGCCGAACAGAGACACGAATCGAGTCAAACCACGTGCACTGAGCTAGAATCACCTGAGAGGGGGCCAACCAGCATTCGTCGAGCCAACACGCGAGACGTTGGCCAGCGCAGGTCAACTAAAACGCGCGTGGCCGCGGCAACGTAGCGGGGTTGGCCTGCGCATGCGGCCGAGAAGTGGACGCCAAATCCCGTGCGTAAGCGCCGTGGGTCGCAGGGTAAACTCGCACGTCCCAGGGGACTCAAGGGGAAGAGGAGGAGGAGGAGGAAGCAGGAAAGGGAGGAGCAGGAGGGGAGAGGCCGACAAAAACCACAAACTCGGCGTCCGTAGACCGTCATAGGAAGCGGGCTCACGCACGAAAGCCCTAGCCAGCACCAGCGACGGAGAGAAGGAATGACGGGGAGGAGGAGGAGGAGGAGGAGGAGGAGGAGGAGGAGGAGGAGGAGGAGGGGGAGGAGGAGGAGGAGGAGGAGAGAGGCAAAAACTGACCGCGAAGCATGCCATCAGCCCAATGCCTGAAGCCAACCGAAGAGTGGCGAACAGGCCCCTGGTGAAGAACACCACCCAAACCTACCACGTAGATCACTGCAGCGAGAAACAACGCAAAGGAAAGCGCAAAGTGAAGCGCAGCTCTGGGCTTACTACGACTACAACTACGACATCTACTACGACTACTACTAGAACTACTACTACTACTACTACTACTACTACTACTACTACTACTACTACTTACTTACTACTACTACACTACCACTATTTGCTACACGCTACCACTATACTACTTTATATACTACTACTACTACTACTACTCTACTACTATTATACTACTACTACTACTACTACTACTATACTAACTCCTTATACTAACTCCTACTACTACTACTACTACTACTCTACTACTACTCTATTCTACTACTCTACTACATTCTACTACCACTTACTACTCTACGAGACTACAACTACTACTACTACTTACTACTACTACTACTACTTACTACTACTACTACTTACTACTACTAACTACTCTTATACTACTACTACTATATTACCACTACGACTACTACTACTATTTAATACGACTTCGACTTTATACTGCTACTACTTGCTACTACTACGACTACGATACAACTATACTACTTACTTACTACTTACTACTACTACTATACAAATACTACTACTACTCTACTACTACTACTACTACTATACTTCTACTCTACGGCTGCTACTACGCCTAATACTTGACGACGACTACTACGACTACTACTATTTACTACTACTACTACTGCTACTGTACTGCTACTGCTGTGACTATCCTGCTACTAACTACTACTACTACTACTACTACCACCACCACCACCACCACCACCACCACCACCACCACCACCACCACCACTACTACTACTACTACTACTACTACTACTACTGCTACTGCTACCATGTAACGCCCATCACGGGGGTAGAAACCAATTGGACCAAGTGTATTTCCTGGGGCGTCACGCTGTCACCCTGCTCATCCTTTCCTCATCATGCTCGTCCTCCTCCTCATCCTTCTCGTCGTCCTCCATGGGACCTCATGGAGCCTCCGGGTAATCCCGGGGGCCTCCTGGGATAGCAACCTCTGAGGACTTCCTGCGGCCTCTTGAAACCTCCTGGCTCTCCCAGGGTATCCTCAGCCCTCCAGGGGCGTCCGCAGCGTTCTGGAACGTTTGGGTCGTTCAGGATACGCCCGGAGCGTGATGGGACCTCCTTGGGCCTTGTGGGACCTCGCGGGGCATCCTGGGACCTCCTGGAGCGTCCTGGAGCCTCCTTAGGATTCCCACGGCCTCCGGGGACGTCCTGAAGCCTCCTGGAGCTTCCTGATGCCTCCTGAGACCTCCTGGGGCCCCTTGGCGGCTCTCTAAGAAGCCACGCGCGGGGCCTCAAAATTGGCGACAGTTTCAAGGATGGAAGCCTTCCCATTGAGAAAGAGGGCGCGGTGGACGTTGAAAAATGACGACAGTTACACACTTGAGGCCCAAAACCGTGCCGGGCGCCCCCCCCCGCCATTCCGGGTCCCGCATAGTACGGTGCGATTTGCCCCCTCCCCGCTGTCCCGCCGGTCCCCGGGAGGGTTAGTTTTCTGGTTTTCGCTAGTAAGAAACACTTCCCCCCCCCTCTCGGCGGTGACGGAGGGCAGGCGGCGGGGGAGAGCGGGTTGGCAGGGTGGCTGGTTGGGCACGGAGAGCAGGCGGAGGGGATCGGCTGGTTGGCGGGATGACGGGGTGGGCGGCTGGGCTGGTTGGCTGACGGGTTGGCTAGGTGGCGGGGTGGCTGGGTGGGTTGGCTGGCTGGTTGGACGGGTTGGCAGGTTGAGCTGGCTAGGGCAATTGGTTTCGACCACTACTACT